GTAAATAATGCAAACGCGCCGCGACAAGCAATTAAATTTCCAATCGTGACATCGGGACTGTCATAACCGAGTTGTCTCGAAAATCGGTCCGCTAATTGCCGTTAATTACCTTAATTCATTCCCGATTATCCCGTTTCTCCAATAATAATTCTGTATTACTACCTTCTATTATCGTTCTCCACGAACACATTCATGCTACAAGACCAAAGTTATATTGCAGGTAGTCATGCTGTATTGTGCTGCAAGTTTGCATTAATTTCATGATTTTCCAGATTTCACCGAGAATAAGTTTATTTGGATTTATTTAAAATTTTTAAAATATCTAAAATGAAAACTTGGCGATTTACATTAATTTCATGACTTTCTTGCACTAGTTTTCATAGAATATTATTATTTTCTGAGATAAAATTATTTTCATAAAATAATAAAACTTGCTTAGTTTTTTACATTTTCATGAAAAGGTCAGTTTGTATTTGATAAATTACACGTTACTTGGAAATGCATATTTAGATAACAACAGCAGACACTGAATATACATAAGTAACATGAAATACATGTACATAAACGCGTTTATCGCGTCGGTTCACTTCGATGGACATAGCTGGTTTCTTTCACATTAATTAACCAAATTTATTAACTCGCTGCTCACTAAAAAAGATAAAGAATAGCAAAACGACTTTTATAGCTAACAAATTAACTAACTCTGGAATTATTAATTGAAAGAGCTTATAAATTGGAAGAAATTATACAGGGTGTCCGAGGAGAAGTGTCATATACCCATATTTCTTCTTCCTTTCTCATTGTTCCTTAAAATATGCTTCATCGCTCCTACAAGTCTAATTCGTTTCTAAATCGGTAAAAATTGTATACTCGACTTTGTCGCGAAGTAAAGCAGGACTGCTCGCCAGTTTTCTTATTTTTCAACAATGAGATCTGACGGATAACAGTAATTTCGGAGATGGTTTCCACAGTACATTAACTACGTTAGAACACATTACAATGTTGCGCGAGGTGCATGAGTATCGGTTTGACGAGCATCCATGAATAAGACGCGCTCTCGTGATTACGTGGTTACGCTGCTGGAAAAATTGTATGCTGATTAGCAGCCAGCGCGAGCGTTGCATGCGCATCATTTAATGACTTTCTTAATTCGATAATTAATTATCAGATCGCCCTTAAACTTCGTACTTGCTCCACTCCGCGGTTTAACGAGCATTCGAAAGCACTTCCTTCTCCTCGTTACATGATTCTTTTTAAGGGGATTCCTACTTATAATATTCGTGCAGCACGAAAGTCGAGTTGCGACGTTTTTAGGAGCTCGAAAAGCGGGGAGGGTTTCGAATTCAATGGCGTATATCGTCAGAAATTCGAGGGAAAAAAATATAAAAAATGTCTCAGCTGGGCGATTGATAATCTTTACGGAACGATTGGTCAAGGACTCAACTCAGGCTCTCAGATATTATAGGTCTATCAGGCTGTAAATAAAAAAAAACATACCATTCTATTAAAAAAAACAGAGTTGATGTTCAATTAAATATTCTAATCAATCTTACAATTAAATATTCTAATTGCTTCTGAGAACGTCGATGTTTCTGCCACGACGATTGAAATTTCTATTTGCGTGCAAACAAATTGTAACTCTTTCTACTTTCCTTTTTTTTTAGGAGGATACACATAACTTCGAGCAATGATTGTTAGGTTTTCTTAACAATTACATAGTGCATACGATGTTATAGTTCAAACTTTATTTAAGGTTTAATGTATACAATTTGGTCTCGAATATTCATTTAGAATTGTTACAGTGAAGTCCATAAATATTCGAACATCATTTCAAGTAGTAAATTAGCAATGATGAGTACTAATTCATTTTATATGACTAATGATACTTTATATCAATCATCGTATGAATTTAATAATCATATTATAATCATAATTG